AACATAGGCGAAATCGGGGTATAGTTCTAATGCTAACTAGTATCAAAAATTCTGGCAATCGAAATCGGCATACATATAATCGATAGCATAACTAGATAGTGTGTATATAGCAAGTGTGATGATGTGAACACAAATACGTCATCATATTTTTTATAGATCATGGGTACCTAAGTGTGACGACAAACTCGTGAACCAATTGTCACTCGAATGACGACGCAAGTGTGAATTGTTCGTCACTCGAATGATGGAGCGAATATTAGCTTGTCAGTATATCTCTGACGACGCAAACGCTAATTATTCGTCACTCAAATGATGGAGCGAATACTAATATATCTCTGATGACGCAAACACGAATCATTCGTCACTCGAATGACGACAGATATATGATCCCATCGTCAGACATAACCTAGATTAAGTGGAAATAACATAATTATGTTATTTCCACTCATTTCTCTTTTTTTGTAAGGGCATCTCACCATCAGGCACCCAAATTCTTCTCTTTCTATCATTCACATAAAATATGCATTCATCATGGGTTACAAAAATTAACTCTCGTTCCTCTCCATTAAGCACTTGTGAAACCCTTTCTATTGCTTCCCCCTTATATGTTGCCATTTTTTGCTCTAATGTTCTTATTCTATCTAAAAACACATGTCGATACACCACAACATCATTTCACTTATGCCCATCAAAGTATATTCTCTTTGTATATTTCTTATATTTATATTCTAAAATGTTCAACCACCTTTTTGCTATTCTTAAACTAATTTTTTTTTTGGAACCCTTCTATACACTCTGGTAAAATAAAATCGTTTACATATTGTATAAAACAAGTTGGACTAATTCCATTTACTTCTGCTTCTCTACATATCCATTCTTTACATTGCAAAGCAACGTCTTCATTATTAATAAGTCAGTGGTATTTTTGGTGCTAACTATGTTGTGTAACTGGAAATGATCTATGATATAAATAGAATTTAGCTAAAAAGCAAATCCTTTGAGATGTATATGGCTTTGGAAAAATACAAGCGACACATGCAGCCTTTTCACTTGCTTTTATTTTGCCATCACCATCTTCTAACTACACAAAATATTCATAAACTGCCCATCATTCATTATATTCAATAGCTATCAATTTTTTTTTGATTTTTTGTAAGATCTTCTCTAAGCTATCCAATTCCTTTATAAAGTGTAAATTCATTTGAAGGAGGTGCCAAAGACCTACTTAATTGAGAGAACTTAGAGTAGGCCATAGCTCTATAGAAAAACTCACTTGCCCAGGAAGTTATAGAAAACATAGGAAATGTGAAAGGTATTGAAAACCTTCTGGGAAATTCACTTAATGATAATAACAATAAGTAATTAAAATTTTTTAATATATACTAATTAAGCAAAAGCTAAAGACCCTTTACCAACCTTACAGCCTTAAAAAAGCCAGAAATTTTATAGGTTCCCTCAGTGGCACATATAAGTGTACCTGAAGCACCAAACTTACAATAGTATGTTGATTTCAGTAATTCTTTAATTATTCTTGCATTTTCTTTTTTATCTTTATTCTATACAAATACTGGGGCTCTCGTTACTTCCTCTTTCTCTTCAAGCTTGCTTTTACTTTTATCCTCATCAAATTCACTGCTTTCAGCAGATATATCATCAGAAAAGACATCTTCAGCAAAAACATCTACATCACAGATATTTTCAGCAAAAATACCCTTAGCCTAAATGTCATCTTCAGTAAAATCGTCACTCAAGACATCTACAATATTCTTCTTTTGCTTTTTTTTGGCTTGTCTACTTCTTTTATTGTTATATTTTTGAAGCATTTGATACACTTTATTCTTTCGCTTTGGCATGCTTTATTGATTGGTTTTCACAGTCTTAAAAAAAAAAAAAAGAGAGAGAAAAAAGAAATTTTTATATTTTTATAAATTATAAAGTACTCAAATTATTCAGATTAAAAGTACCTGAAAAGAAAACTTAATAGTAAGAAAAAAAATAAAAAATAAAAAAAATATGAAGAGCCTGAATTCTGCGTGCTTATATTTCCTTCTCTGTGTGCCCTGCATTTTCTTCTTAGTTAAGTTATTAGGGGCATAAGAAAAATTTTTACATGCTCTTTGTACTAACTGTTAAAGGTACTTTTTTTATACTCTGGTTTCTTGAATAAGCATTTTTTTCAAAGCATATATATGCAAGATCAATTATCATCTGAAATTCTGAATCTTGTAAGTATATATATGATGTTTGATTGACCAATAAAATTTTGAGCATGCATGCCGTTAAATTCGATTGGTCAACCCAAGTCACATTTTTTGTCCCATTTGGTATTAATATATATAAATTGGGTATTTTTAACCAATTATAAATTAAGAATAAATAAGTATTTTTTTTAAAAAAAAGCCGCTAAGTTATAGTAAGTAGACTTAGCTACAATTTAGCAGCTTTTTTTTGTTTGTATTATTTTTGTAGTATGTGTTATTAGTTTTTAAAAATTAATAAATTCATTTTAGTCTTTAAGTGTCATGCACTGTACTTACAAGTTTTAATTTGATCGCACTCATTTCTCTTAAATTGTAATTTTGTAACAAGCTTAGATCAAAGTTTAAATAGTGATTATGTATTGTGTTATATCTAAACCTATCTCGGGAATTAATAAAAATATCAAAAGGTAATTTTACTTGTAATATTCAGCAATTCCTAATCTTAAAAACTAATACTATATACAATTAAATATATACATATTTAAAATCACACAACATCGAACTTTAACTGTTCCATATCTGGCATGGTCTCACTTGAGATCAATGTCATATAGGTATATTTTTAGCTAATTTCTAGCTCTGGAATTTAATAGCATGTATATACAGTATATACATACCTGTTTTTCTAGCACTAGTTATTTTTTATTTAAGAATGTAACCTAAATAATAGTGTGGATAATATTTCTAATATAGTAATACAAATGTTCATAGACAGCAGCTTGTTTAATTGGCTTATTGTTTAATGCAACTTAATTGCCTGGGTACTTATTCACGTTTGGAAATAATTGTTAGCATATAGTGCTACGCAAGAATTAAATAATTGAATGTTTCTAGTCAATTTTTTGCTACCGTAATTTGCAACAAATAGTACCCGGGTCTCTTACATTCCTAGAAGAAAAATCTTGATTAGTATCCAGTGGATACTTTGTCAGGTGGAGGGTATTTTATATGGGAGAGTTTATGTAAGGAGAATAATTAAATTGACTAATCATTTAATAGAATTATAATAAAATTGAAAGAAAGAGACATAAAAGAAGTCATATACTATATAAATTGCATCTTAGATATACTCAGGTCTTTTTCAATCATGTTTGTGACAAATAATTGATTAATCCCAGGTACAATTCGTAGGGGGTACACTAATAAGAGAGTACTATTTGTCGCAAATTATGGTATTTTTTGGGGTCATCTAAAGTGTGTATATTTATTTCTGCCAAAAAAAGAAATTTTCATAAAATATAGTGTAATGTTGGTATAATACAAAAGTGAAAGTTTTTTAAAAATCCTAATGCTAATATTTAGCTTAAAATTTTGTATAGTCTGGTACAAAAATGTAGATATACCAATATGTTTATATTTTCTATATTAGAAGAAATTTGCTTCTAATTTCAATATTTAAAATTTTTAAATGAAATATTAAATATTAATTTTATCAATATATATTTCTAAGTAAAAATATATTTTAATTTATTTGTGGCCATAGCTATGCGTTTCCTATAATTTTTTAATCACTCAAAATTTTACTAGAGTAACCTGGTATGTAACTAAGCAAAAATGCACCTCCCGCAATTTTACTCTACCCTAACTCTAACTCTAACTCTAATTTTAACTCTAATTCTAATTTTAATTCTAATCTAATCTTAAATATTTATTTTGATACATAGTATGGCTACATGTAGCTTATAGTAAATTTTTCAATTTTTAATAAACAAATTTTTTATAAAATTAAATATTTTAGGCTTATAACTAGTTAAAATTTTTTATAATATATAATTAAAATTTACAATTATATATATAATTCTTATTTTTAAAGTTTACTGAACTAGAAAACAAGAACTATTGGGATCCGGAGCCTAGATATTTAGATGATTTTTTTATTAGATTGTTTGTTCTTTGTATTTAAGGTATTCTTTTTTATGTCACTTAATTTATCAAGTTTATATACACCATTCAAATCTTATTTAAGTTAATGATAGCATGTACTGGTATTTGAATTCAAACTTGTCAACTGAAGCCTATAGAAAGATATAATATATAGTTTGATAAATAAGAAGCTCTAAAGTCGTTAGTCAATAAATAAGGTTGTAATTATATGATCTTTTAAATGTTTAATAAAATATGCCAAAACAATTGTATAATAAAATATGAAATCATATAATATAAATAGCGATATTAGGATAAACTAGTTTGATTAAAAAATAATGACGTAGAAAATTAATATAAAAATAATCAAATGGGATTAAGAATCCTTTTGTATTTACTGTAATGACTATTAAACAGTTTTGATCTTATTGATTTAGCAATAGTATAATCACTTATTGCCTGAAGTAAAGTGAATAACACTATTTTTGTTATAGACAATGATTAGGGTTGCAATTATACTGGTATAATAGAAATAGTAGTTATTATTCTTCTAGCTTAATATAGTTTGAAATCTTTTGAAAACTTTCTTATAGAAACATTCAGAAGCGATTTAATTGGTTAAATATTTTACTATTGACATTATACCTATCTATATGATAATAGATATATAGTCAAGAGTATACTGTAATATTTATTTATTAAGAAAAGAGTAAGAAAATACAAGTTAGAACCTCTGAATCTTTTCAGCCTTAGATAAAAAGGTAGAGTTTATATATTTTTTAAAACTCTATATAATTACTAATTATAGTTTGTATTATTGTATTATTGTATTAACAAAATACATCAAAGAGACTTGTCAAAGAAACTTGTCAACAAGTCTGTATTAACAATGTGTTAATAAGACTTGTCAACAGGTCTGTATTACAGAGATAGTAATTTAAATCAAGAAAAATTTATTTAATCAGTTAATTAAACCAAATTATTTTATTCAACCAAGTACTAACTAGTTAAGATTAACTACTATATCTACTACTATTAGAAATTCTTGAAGCTTTACTTAAGTTTTTGTCTTATTTTTATAATTATTTATTTTTTTTTCAAAACTTTTTGGACTCTTATATTATTTTATATTATATTGATTTTGCTAACTGATTACTTAATTCTTAATTAGTTGTGTCAAGCCAACTAATTAAAAATTTTCTTAACTGGTTAGCTAAAATTTATTCAGTTTGGGTTAATTAACTGATTATAGCCTAACTAATTCAAATCACTATATAGAGATAATAAATTGTCATTTATTACTTTTTATCTATTATAGTTATATATATTTTAAATTTAAATAACTTGTTAACTATTAATCTAATTGTCTAGCAGCTCTTTGATAATTTAACTTATCAAAATTCAAACACTTTTGCCAGCCAATCTAAAGTATATACTAAACTAAATCCAACTTTTGACTAGCTCCAAAACTTTCCTATTATTGACAATATAAAAAACAATAAAAAACTACAAACAACCTTTTCTATAAATTTATATGACTTTCTTAAAAAGCATCTCTACAACTTCTACCCAGGTAGCATTATTAAAAAAGCAACTTACAATTATGAATCTTTAAAAACAAATTTTTACTATATTATTCAAAAAATAGCTAGAAAATACACTCAATTTTTGATTAACTATATCTTACAGCTTTATCTAAATATTAGCAAAGATACAACTATTCTATTTGAAACTATTGAAGGTTTTTATAAAAAAATCATACTCCAATTTACCACTATTCTTTTTACTAAACTAAACTATACAGAGATTTTTGTCTCTCCTGCTATTATCTCCCCCTTTAAAGCAGAAAACTATATTTAATTTTGTATCAACTTAGCATGCCTTCACCTTTACTTATTCAACAATTACCATGCTATTAATTACAAAAAATTCACTAAAGACTTCAATCTTCAACCCAAATTCTTCACTTTTACCTCTCATATTATATCTACTAACCAAAACAGAAAATATTTTACAATTAAATTGGACAACAAACTTAATATTAACCTTCTTTTCAATCTTTCTAAAAACTTATTTCTTAAAAAATATTCAATCCTCTTACTTAAAAACTTCTTGGACCATTTTAATAAATGGTTTGATATAGCTTTCTCTGTTTTTAGCTGCCAATTCTTATCTCCTCCTAATAAAAATAAAACTAAATTACACTTACAATCCCAAATCTAAAAAAATTTATTTCTTAGCTCAAAACCTTTTTACCTATCATAATTCATTTCTACAAACCATATACTTCTAAGACCAGTGAGATAAATGCTATTATACAATTAACTTTTATATCCTCACATGCAAGCATAAGAACTGCTCTTATATAACTGATTACAAACATGATATAAATACACTTTTTAACAATGGACAACTCTTCCCGATGATTTCTCATACCAACTTCTCCAAAAAGGCTGATCTATAAAAACTATACAGTTAATATGTTTAAACACCACAAAACTTCACCAATAGTGGCGGGGAACAATGGCTATTCACTGCATGTTGGCGTAAGTAAAATAGATTTGAAAAGAGTCGCCCTTAAAAGTGAAGTTACCTGGCAGAAAACTATGGTGCTACCAAGCAAAGAAGTAGCAAACAGGCTCTGGAGCTTTGTTAAGTATTATAGAAG